GGAAAGAGGGTGATAACAGACACAAAGGCTTTTGAAATGCCTTTTGTTAAGTGGACGTTTTGGTGCAAGTCGGAGGAGTGGTTTGTGAAAGATGTTGTTTGGGCTGAAGAAAGCATGTGCATTAAGGGAAAAAAAAAAGGTAAAGCAGTTTATAATCCACTTAATGATTTCAAAGTCGTAAGAAAAACAGTATTTAAAGGCTTCTCAGAATCTTTTTATCATTACACTGTTAAACCAGGCAGGGGCTTAGTGGGTGGTTTTTATTTTAGGGCACCAGTGCTTCCCAATGGCAATTTATTGCACGTTTCTAGGAAAAAAACCCTGCTTCCTTCAAGCATCAAGCTCTGACATGTCAATTGTCATCTTTGTGAACACAAAACCCCCTTGGTTTTATTTTCTGTGACAAGTACACCGTCCTATTTACATTCTAGAGTGAATGAACAAGGAAGCATTCCTTGAAATAGGGGTACTCAGAAAGAATCTTCCTCTCACTTGAGTAGGAGGGGATGTGATAAGACATCCCCTCAGGGTCTGCAGTGACTGCCGAGCAGTATAGAAGCACAAACCTAAGTGGATGAGGCTGCAGGCACCAGAAGATGAAAACTCAGAGGCAAACCCTCCTTGTGGTACTATGCCCAAAAGGCAACACTTTTAAAGTCCATCATTCAGAGCACACCTCTTCCTAAGCCAACAGTCTGTTTCCTTAAGGCCTGTTTGTTCTGAGCTGCAGTAAGGAGAGATTTTGCTGAAAAGCTCTAGCATTATTTCAGTTATCTGTTCAATCAGCCTCTGTGACAATTACCGTAGTATTCTTGTGCTGCACTTGAAGCAAGGGTTTGGAGTTTCCCAGTTAGGCTGTCTCACTGGCCTTTGAAGATGAGGTGAATGTGGATGCGACTGTAGGCATCCTACAAGCTGTTAAACGTACCAGAGACTGATAAAAAGAGGTTAGGACCAGAGGTGAGACTGAGCATACTGAAGCTGAACTGATTTCTTGGGAGAAAACTACAGCCAGGCTAGAGGCCTTTTTATCCAAGGGACATGATCCTTGAAAAATGAAGTGCTTCACACCAACAGTTGCTGGCTGGAGACCAGGTGATGGAATCGGTACCTTTGCAATCTCTGTTTAAGGCAGAGCAGAGGGATGCTGAGGGTGAGAAACTTGCTGCATTACCTATTTGACTACTGTCTGAAACACTGAACTCCAGAAAAAGAGCCACTAACAGAAAGAAGGCCTTATCTATTTAACACTTTTAATAATTCAATAATAATGTAGTATTTTTAGTAATTCAAATGTTCCTTATTGAGGTCTTCAAATGTACAGTGGGCAACTGCTAAGTAACCAACTCATTACGGCTTTTTGTGATTCTCAGCATTTCTATGATGAGTTCTACAAGTTGGGGGGAAGAAGATTTGTTCAAGAAGGGCTTAGGTATCAGCCATTACACCTAGAGGTACGCTTGGACCTTAAAAGAGCAAACTTTCCAGAGTCTTTTATTCCAAACAGAGCAGGTGTGTCCTGGAGCCCTCAAAAACTCTGCACTGCAGCAAGGTTAAGATCTCCTGTCTGGGCAGTGGTGGCCATTGCGCATTTGAGGCCATGGCATGTGCAAGCACAGCCTGGATGGGCCATCTCAGCACCACCAAGGGATACAGGGGCACGTGAATAACTCTGGACAGCTGTCAGAGGCCAACAGATTCTTATCAGTATTTTAAACTTAGGTCTGAATCTGCTTATGAAAAAATGTCTTTAACTGTCAACACAGTACTTACGTAAACCACATAAAAGTGGTTTGGTTTTTTTCCTTTTAACAAGAAGCAGCAAGAGAAGGAAGTCACAACACACAACTCTACTTCTATAAAGATATTATTTTTTTTTATCTAGAACTGGGAGAGGCAGTGTGTTGACTCATTAGCATGGCAATTTGAAGCAGATGCAGAAGTTGAGGCCTGAATTGTTATTTATGTTATGAACTGACCTGGCATTGCTGCACAGCTGATTCTCTACAACTGCTGAATCAGGCACTGGAAGTCTTGAAAGCTGAGTAACAAAACAAGTGTATAAAGGGAAAATACTCTGCCATCCGTACCAAGTAACCAAACCTTCAAAAATACCACCAGAACAGTTAATGTCTTTAATATAAAATCATTCTTCCCCGAAAAGCAGCAGCACTATGTTACAAGTGTGTTATAGTTAAATTAAAGGAACACCATCGTGATTGAAGACATCTTCATGTATGAAGTAAAATCTTCCAAATAATTCATAGTCCATTTTCAGTACATTTCAGCTTACACTGGAAACAAATAACATATTTTCTTTTCAGCAAGTGCCACTACCACCATTTCTCAAAGAAAACACAGTTTCTAGGAACACCGATGGTGGACAGTAGTTTGGATATAGATTCTATCATTGGAGGTGGACCGCAGATGTACCATAAAGTATCCTTAGATACGTGTTTTTCGAGATCCTCTTCAGATATTCTTCCCTCTGACAAAGAAAAACGTAGGAAATGAGACAGGAAATACTAATAATGAAGTAATTTTTTAAAAAGAATGACTGGTTAGAGGTATTTCAAGCACTCATTTCTTAAAAATGCCAGGCCTGTTAAAGGATAATACGTATCAAGATTTGAGGCTTGCAAAGCCATATGTTCTTCTGGGGATTTAGATCAGTACTTCCAGTTGGTATGCGTGGGATATTAGTCACCGAAGAGAAACATGGCTTACGTACAGCTAAAAATCCCACGTTCAGATGAAAAATACAGGTCTGTATCTCTAACACAAATACAACCAAAAAGAAAACATGAAGAAGTATCTCTTACAAGCGGTCAGCTTATCCTTCATCAATCCTGCCTTAAGCAAAGTAAATACTGGAATCAAGTTTGCAGTGGGAAATACCAGTATAAAGTTTAGAAATAACAGAGGACGTTTCATTCCATTTACCAGAAATGAAAACAAAAACTGCAAAGGGAAAATTTTTCTCCAAAGCGTAATATGTACAGGGAAATTATTTAGGTTTAACTCACATTTGGAATCTTTAAATGTAAAAACACTAAATTATGCATATAACCTCATCCTCTAGGATGTAATCAAACTTAGACCTTAGAAGCAATCTCTGTACATTACCATGATATCTACCTGTAACATATGGCTGAAGTTCTTTGCAGATCTGTGAACTCTGCCGGGTAACGTGGAAACGACATGTGATCTTTCCAGGAAATGCATTCATCAAACCAAGAATATTTTTCTGTAATGTTAAACACACTTGCTTATACCCCAGGCCAGTAAATCAAAGCAGATGTACTCACAGTCTCTGAACACCAGTGGTTATTACCCAGTACCCAGACCCTTGCATTTCAGTGCTGAGAACTCGATGGGTTTGATTTCAAAGGGCTGACCTGCACAAATGCACAGCATTTCCATACCTGGAATGCAAATATACTACCAGCTATGCTGTGAGTGCTTGACTCCTTTTTTTTTTCCGAACAATAAGTAGCAGTTTGTAAGATTTGGACTAAGAACCAGTTACGTTCTTTCCTGGTTTCTTCCCCATATAAATTCTCATTATTTCCTCCTTCCACTTCCATATGGGTTTTCCATTTAAAAAACCCCTGCAGTATACCATTTGTTACAAGCATTTTGAGTCTTGGCTGCTTTAGCTGCTAAGATTACTAGACCCTTTACTCTCTCATGCTCTCCAAGTAAAACAAACTCCAGTGTAATGCTAATGCTATTTTTACCAGAGTGGAAATTACAATTTTCAGTTCTCCAAGTCACAACTGTGATAGTTACCACCAAAAACCCAGTAGCTTCAGTTCAAATCATAGCAATAAAAAAATACCTGTCAGTCAGCTGCTGTAGTTAGTTCTGAAACTAAGGTTTACTTACTGTCTAGATTCTGCACTACTTGGGATTTTCACTGCTGGAAATTCTTTCTTAAAATATTCTGAAATAAAAATAATTTCTATTCTGTGAATAGGTCAATTACCTCATTTTGTGATGTGTTTGCTTACTAACGAGTTACTACACAGTGTGCCATAGGTAGCTTAACAAAGAAAAACCCCAGGCAGATTCTACTTAATAGACAACCCTGTTTCCGATTTCTTAAGAAGACACAGAAAGAGCAGCACAGCGACACTGCTGTACGCTGTTCCACTGGTGCCTCTCCTGCTGGGCTGCTTTCCCTGTTCTCGATGTGACCCTAAACTTCTGTCCCCTTCATATGGAACCACATGCAATTTCATAGCACTTTTGAAACTACTCATGTCCCATTGAGTTGAAGTCTTAGCACCAAGTCAAGAAGCATGCCTAAGGCAGGACTTGACTTAATCTGCTAAAAAATTCCTGCATTCACAACGCCTCCTTGTAACCTATCACTCTGTAACTCAGTGACACGGACAGAAAGTGGCAGGTACCACACACAATACTATTTTGTAGTATCCTAAGAGAAGAGACAGGCTCTCTTTACCTGAATGAAGGAGAATTTCAATAGCTCAGCAGGATCTTTGCAGCCTACTAAGTCAGTGTACAAAATGCAGCAGACAGCTCAGCAATAGAGACCTAAAGGAGAAGCCCTGTCCCCAATGTCCCAGCCACACTAAGGAAATGAGGGTGACATTCAGTCCTCCTGAAATCAGAAAAACCCAGCTAATTCGCATCTTGAAGAAGCAGAGTCAGTGTGCTATCCTTGGGCATTCTATTCTAACACTGTATGCTTCTACTATTTTAAATAATGTGATTTTCAAAAGCAGTGCATCTGCCTGTGAAAGGAGAGCACATCCAAAATGAGTATTAGACCAATTACATTAGGCTCACAGGGAGAAAGAGCAATGCCATACAACAGCTGCTTCTTCAGGGAACAGGTCCTCCAAAACATTAGTGACAACCAAGCAGTTCCTCAGGAAGATCTGTACAGATGTAGCACAGAATCATTAAGGTTGGAAAAGACCTCTAAGATCATCAAGTCCAACTGTCAACCCAACACCACCATGCCCACTAAACCAAGTCCCAAAGTGCCACAACTATGCATTTTTTAACACCTCCAGGGATGGCGACTCCACCACTTTCCTGGGCAGCCTGTTCCAAAGCTTGACCACTCTTTCAGTAAAGAAATTTTTCCTAATAGCCAATCTAAACCTTCCCTGGTGCAACCTGAGGTCATTTCCTCTCGTCCCATCACTTGTTACTTGGGAGAAGAGACCAACCCCCACCTCACTACAACCTCCTTTCAGGTAGTTAGAGAGAGTGATAAAATAAAGTCTCCCCTCAGCCTCCTCTTCTCACAACAACATAAAGACCAGTGAACCTATTTCCTCAATTCTCTGCACAGAAGTAAAGAATTTCCATATACGTGGTTCTGGATTTGAGGAACATGTGAAAAATGAAGGGAAATGCCATCTCCCGCACTGGGAAAAACTGTGCATGCTTAGAACAGACTGGGACATTAGTAGTTGGCCAAATGGCAAATGGTATGTTCCAGTTTATTCTGCTTCTAGCAACAAACAAACAACTTTTCAAAGAGAAAGCAAACATATGGCAGGAGTACAGAAGAAAAACTAGTGATGGACCCCAACACAATTTCTGGAATCATGATACATTTTCTCCTTTATCTTACAATCAAAAGCTTTCAATACTTTAAAGAAACCTAAATCATTAGGGAAGCTTCTTTACAGAAGCTGCACTAATTTGACCCTCAAAATGTTGTCAGTGACCCTTCACAGCTGAGTGTGACAACCGATCTTTAACTGCTAAGTAAATGTTGATTAAAAAGTCCTATTACAAGCATTTTTACAAGAAGTGCTTATAAATCCTTCATTCATAAACTAGTACCTAATAATAACTGATGCACTATCAGTAAAGCTCCTCTATTATTTTAGAAACTATTTCCTATGTATATAATTGCTCTTGCTAGGCTTCAAATTCAATACGATCTGTACTGAGATGATGTGGTTACAGAATTACAGCACATAGCATTATGCATACTATTACTGTGTATATACTCCTATATATTATGGTATATATAATCTCTGGTATACTGTGATGCTCTTATGAAATTACAGTAAAATACAGACACTTAGGGTTGATTGACTGCTCAGTGAGGTCAATGAGACCAGGTATGTTCAATGACATCCTTCACTTGTACACTGGTACAATTAATGAAACACACCTGGGATATGAGACAGGCAGCAACTTTTGTCTCTGTACAGTGGCTTACATAGAGGGGCTCTCCAGAATTTGGCAACACAATGATACACAAATAAGCGAATAACTGAAATCTATTTAAAAAACCCCCACCTTTTTATTTACCTTAAATAAGAGTTCGCTTGTATTTTTTGCACTGTAGTACAGCTTCACTGTTCCCATTTTGTAGCCATTTCCTTTACTCTCTTGGTATCCAAGAAGATCTGCTACATGCAGCAGTATAGAAAACAACGGGTTAATTCCAACACCCCCTGCTAGCAGCACAAGTTTTACAGGGGAGTCACCAGGCTGAGGATCAAAGAAGAAATCACCTCCCACTCGCAGAGCCACTTCTGAGTCAAGAGTACACTAGGATGGAAAAGAAGATATTTAATTTCAAAACTAAAAGCAAAAGTTGAAATGTTATTCTTGCACCAGTCACAAGTCTTGCGGGGCTGTGATTTTGTTATTTTTATTGACCAGTGAGGGGAAACTGACGTACTTCAAAATAAATGCAGTTTCCAGCTATCTTGAAGTTCTCTGTCTCAGTGTCTCTAGGGATCTAGTTCTACTTTCAGAAGTTTCAGTCTTCTGATAAGGCAGGATGGTGACTCCCCCTTCCCACCCCCGTAAGAGCCGAAAGAGGAACGATTCATGCAAGAGCTCAACAGCAGCGCGTGGCTGTGAAAACCCGAGGTTAACCTGCGAGGTCACACTTTTGCCCAAACCCAGCCTCATGTCGAAAAAGGCCTTGCTATGGGATCACAGAAGGAAGTCAGAATGACCTGCAAAGACGGAGAAGGTTTTTCCATCCCCATTCCAAAAAAATAAAAAACACCCAGAAGCGAAGCAAGTATCCACAAGAATATTTCTTGCAGAACGACTTCTGCATTTGCAACTTCAGTTACAGAGAAGAAAAACCAGGGAAAAACCTCTCTTCCTCTCTACTTGTGCATAAGAAATTATTTTTTAGAGAAATTTGCCAACACGTGTTTTTATTTGATACAAGGAAAACTAAAGCTACAACAAAACCCCCCATTTGGGTCAGTATCTTCTTGGTAAACCAGCACTGCATCCCCGTATGAAGAGTGAAACTGCAGTACAGAGAAGTCGGGTGAGTTCTACCACACCCCTGCAAGGTAACACAACAAATAGGAGCAGAAAACAGAAACAATGTCAGGCCATATATAGGGTTTAAAAATAAAGAGGACAGGGAAACTAAGGAAGGTGGGAAAGGAGGAGAGGGAAAAAGAAGTAAAGCTACAAGAAGTACTGAAAAATTAACGGTTAATTGCTTACAGAATAAAAATGCTTCCTCCAAAAAATCCTTTTAAGGCCAGAAAACAGTAATTGAAACAAAACGATTTCCATTAATGACAACTGCATAGTAAGCAAAGGTCAAAACATGTAACCCCACAAGGGGAAGAAGGAGGCCCTCTGACACAAGAACTGCACAGGGCACGGATGTACTGAAAGTAGAGAGCATGATCAGTAAAATAAAGTTTTTTGCCTTTCCTAATTATGGCATAAAGTATTATCTCTCAATTACAGTGTAAGACAATCCGCATTTGTTCTCTGAAACTGATTTCTCTCCCTTTTCAATGGGCAATGCCAGGCTTTCCCACCATGTTTTACTTTGTTCTGGAGAAGCATGAATCCAGTCCAGAATCATAGGGCAAAAGGTGGACATAGAATATGGTGCCCTTTATGGAAATAAGCATTTTTAGGGAGAAACAATCTCATTCACGTCTAATCTGTCTCCTTAAACAGCTACAGTTCATCAAGATGGGACATAGGATATAGAAGACTCTCTTCTAACCAGCAGTCCCCCACATATTTCAGTGTGTTAGCCATGGCAACGACAACAGTCAGTTTTCCAAAAATCCCAATAAATTCTGGAGTAATACGGCCAGAAAGCGTTGGCCTTCAGCCGAGTTTGTAAATACAGCATTGAAACAGCTCAGAGGAGTGAAGCAATCAATACATTACACATACATTTTTCTAAAGAAAAGGCTGTATTTTCCTAAGCTATAAAATACACTGTGATTAATTTTATTTTATATACAGTAATATTGAAGAATATAAATACCTCTGAAAAAATAGTGAGTAAATAAGTACAAACTATTCCCATAACATCTTTTACTCTGAGATACCAACTTCCTTTATAAATAACTTTTAAATAATTAAGTACCAGAGTTTTTTCACCATATATACAACCTTTTCAAATTCTAGGTTGCTATTTTTTCCTTCTTCTTCTTTCCTAAGGAAAAGCATGCACTTTTGTTCAGCTAGAAGAGTCCACAAACACCCTGGAGGTTTCTGCACAGCATCACGTTTGACCTAGCTTACCCACCAATTAAAGATTTTCCTATAAATTCAACCAGAAAACTCAGCAACAGCAAACTGATTTATGACATCAAAAATCCTAACAGAGCCACCAGAGACTGGGAATTCTGAAGTGAGGCCTCCACATTCTTTAAAGGGCAATATCAAAACCCAGAGAATCGTCCTGGGTGCCACGGGGCCTCCTGGCACACGTGCACCACG